GCTCCATTGCCGGAATCCATGGTCGTCTCCACCATCGCCGGACCTAGGGTCGGAACCCTAGGTCGGCACCTGCTCTGCTCCGATCTGTTCTCCTCGTCTCTATCCGTCTGGTATCTGCCTTTTTATAGATTTAGAAGTCAGCTTCCCTTCTTGAATTAGAACTCTATTTCCCCCTTGTTTGAGTTGGAGAAGGATCCTTCTTGCGCCAAGCACGAATTGGTTCCCTTTTTATTTTACTTTCTTCATTATCTTTTTGTTGTTTCTCTTTGTTTACGTGAGTAACAAAAGCAACTAAAAGGGTCAACTATTTGATTTGGCCCAATTAGTATTCTTTTTTCCATTTTGAACTCTATCATTTCACTGCTGTCTTCCTCAACTTTTTAGCCACCAAATTATATCTAAAAATATTCATGTAAAAGAAAATCATACCATGAGATATTTGTAGAATATAAAATGCTCAAAATCATGCATTTTATGTATAAAATGTAAACAATAGCCTAAAATGCTAAATAGAACAAAACAAGCTTATTTAAGTATAAAATGCATATTAATTGTCTTAAAAGTACTAAGAAATGAGAGAATAAAATATGACATTTTGTGACTTAACATCTGTTCCTTCCTCTCCTCACTTACTTCTTCGGCTCTTCTTTCCTCATCTCGTATTTACATCTCTCACAGATCTCTCCTTATCTTCTTTGTAGATCTAGATCTGTATAGATCTCCTCAATTTCTCCTTCTCTTGAAATGGAATTCCATGATTTTCTTTACGAATCATGCATTCCAGAAATCTAATTTGTAGATGGCTCCTACCCCTACAGTTCTGACAACGGAGGTGGACGAGGTCATCGTCCTAGAAAATAATGAGGACGTTGACGATGTTGTCCGGGTCAAAGCGAAGGAGGTAATCGACCTTATCTTTGAAACCGACTCTGTTATTGATCTAAGGAGCGAGGAGAGGTCTTAGTTCTTGAAAATGATAGTGATGGCACTGAGAGATCTGATACAACTCCAATTGAGGCTTCTGCTCAGATCTACTCACGCATGCACCTCCATATTGATTTGCTAAACATCTTACTTCCCACTCCAAACCCTAATTTTTGGGCTTCGAAGTATAAGTAGCTAGGGAAGTACTTTTACATCCTTTCTCTTCATTCCTTTCGTTATGTGATGAGTGGTTGTTCATGCACAATTTATGACTATGTTGCTATTTTGATGATGTGATTGTATTATAGTGTGATGTTTTCCGAATCTATGATGACTCAATTTAGTCTAACTGGTCTGAGAAAGGAATATGTGCTGGGACGAGCAATTTACCAACTTGGATGTTTCCGACTACTTAATTTGTGTTCTTATTTTCTATGAATACATAACTTAAGTACTATGATGAACACTTAAGTATTGAATGCTTTTTCTAAGTACTTAAGTTTTGTTACTATTTTCTATAGTTATGAACACATTAATTAGTCTAATGAAATGTCTTGGGAAAAGAAAAATGTACTATAATGAACACTTAGCCATGTGTGGGTGTTTCTGAGTACCTAATATGTGTTTCTATTTTCTGTGAAGAAAAAAACTTATGAAATGATAAGGTCTGAGAGAATGTGTGGCCTAGCATTATCCTGCTGAATATGAATGTTCTTTGATAAATGTGTTGACCACTTTTCTTGATTGGTTTTACTTCCAACACCCCTTTAGCCCTATTCTTGCTCTTTCTTTTGGACAGTGGACTTTGCCATGCCAATTGTTGTTGCTAATGTTCTGACAGTACCCCTCTTCTTGAGGGGAGGTATCTGCGATAGCCTTTACATCCATTACTGCCCTTTTTCTCCCACACTGACCTACCATTTTGCTTCTCACATCAACGGCAACCCTGTGCTCCAATTGTTTCCTTACAATGACTCATATCTTGTTAATTGTTTGTCTTCACACATTAAGCTGTGTAACAAGGCTATTGATCTGCCCTCTCTGAGTTGAATACGACCCATCTGTATTTTGTTTTAATTTCTAAGTAAAGCTTCACTAATAAGCTGCCTTGATGTCTTGTCAAGTTTTTTGGAATTCATGTGAGGATTTTCCATTGTCTTTGCAGGGATATAGAATGTGAGAAGCTGGAAAAACAAAAAGAAGAAGAGAAACTGCAAGAAAAGGAAAGAGAAGAGGAAATTGTCAAAGAAGGATGGAGAAGAAGAAGAGGAATATGAGACAAGAATGAAGATTGCCAAAAGGGGAAAGTGACTGCTTTTATATAAGCAGTGGAGGGATTGGGGATTTTAGAGTTTTTGGGCGGGTAGCAAAAAAAAAAACTGGAGGGAATCTCAAGTTATGTGTAATTTCATTACATTTGATTTTTTTTATCATTGTTGTGTAATGTTGATTTGATGTAGACCATCCTTATTCCACTATGTTTAAATAGTGTTTTCTGTCCACTCCATTTAATATTTTCTTTTTCTTTTTTCACTTCCCATCCCATACGCCCCACCCTTTTGTTTCCCTTATTTTTTTCCATTAAGGGTATTCCATTCATTTCACAGGGTTCGTCAAACTCCCTTAAAAAATGACCAAAAATCAAAACGTAAACTTTAATACCGCACGGAGAGAGTATTTTTTAATATTCAAATTAAGTTATATCTTTTGAAATTCATAATACAAAATAATACAATTTTATTTTGTTGTTATTGTGCTATTTTTGTTATTGTTATTATTTGTTATTAATTGTTTTCATTATTAATATTTTCCTTTTTTATTTTATAAAAAATTATTGCACAAAAAAAGATATTTAATTAAAAAAATATGTTTTAAAAAAGTACATGCATCCATTACTTAAATAAAAAATTTTCCAAAATAAACCTTCACTGGTCTTTTAAAATTAATCTCAACTTTCACTTTGATGAATAATAAGTCAAACTTGTTCACTATCTATGCATTTTGGGCATCCATTCAAACACTAACTTTTTCCCTAAAGGAAGTGTGATGTGACTTAGACACGGTGGATACTTTAACTGCCTTGTAATCATTTTCAAATCAAACGACTCTCCGATTCTTTTGTAATCGTCTTCAATAAAATAACTCTCTGAGTGTTTTTTAGACACAAAGAACCCTAATGCGAGGTCTATCAAAAAGAGCATTATGAATCCAAAATGTAGAAGACCGAAGACAGAGGTAAGCTTATCCGATCACAATCTAATTTCTTGTGCATTCAGCAAATTTTTGTCATTGTAAACATTTTGACTTAAATATAATAAACTCAAACGATATTTCTAGTGAAAGGTAACCATGCAAGGATAGGCAGCTGAATATAAAAATTTTATATCCTGACATGATTATCTTGCCCAGAATCACGTACTAAAACTTATAGTAAGTTAGAAATTTATACCTTTCTATGTAAGCGGTAAAAACGAAGAAGTCGTAGGAAGAGCGTTGAACTGCAAATGTAACCATTCAAGCATCCGGTCTCCATCTTTGACACACGCACAAGGCCGGAGTCTACCACAACCCTTATGCTAGAAAAGATTATAATCTATATACTATATACAAAAGCAAAAGAATTGGGGAGAGAATGAAAAAAGAAAAAGAAAAATAAAAATGGTGTTTTTCCACCCAACGTATTGTCTTTTGGACTTCCCGAGCTCAAATACTCCTTTTTCTCTTATGCCGTTTCATATCTTGGAAATCTAAAAAGACAACTACAGAGTATTTTGATGGAATTCTTTTTTTTTTGAAGAATGTGGCGGATTATGATTTAAAATAATAAATGTGTTGTTAATTGTAATTAATATCTCTTTCAAAAGTCTCATTCATTTTGAGGTTCAAGAAATAGGGAAGTAAGAGGTTTGACTGTTTGATTCTCTATATCCCCATCTTAAAATTATATCTCTATCTTAAAATTAACTTTCCAGTTTGTTTTTTGTGGTCAAAATTTTTAAACTTTGACTACATGTTATAGAAAATATATATTAAATTTTCAAATAAATTTAGTATCAATAGATTTATTTTTGAAATATTTTAATTTTATAAAATATATTTATATATAAATAGAGATATTAATAGTCAAATTATTGCATCGGAGATATTAATGTTAAAAAATCAAATGAGAAGTTAAATTTAAGAGGAATGAAGTATATAATATGGAGGTAGCTCCATTTTGTTTCACTTATAAATACTCCCTCAGTTCTCAAAAAGGGTTCCTAATTTGATGTGATGGGTCGATTATTAGAGAAAAAAGTATGATATGGTAGGTAGAGTATGAAAAAGTAATGATAAAAGTTATTTTTAATTGAAAATGGAAGTGTTTTGTAGGAAGTTGAAAAAAATGAAAGAGAATATTTTTTGAGAACGAAAGGAGTATAATATTCTGAAAAAATCTACTACTTCAAAAAAGGAAAAGATTTTTGGAAAAATTTTCATGTACAAAAATTCTAATTTTTCTACTCCGTTTGTTGATATCAGTGGCATGGAAATAGACGGGTCTTATTCTTTCTTAGTCCTTGGAATTGAAATTACAGTGCATTTATTATGTTTTTTCTACACTGATATATCTATACATTATTTAAAAAGAAGTGAATTCTCCATTGCGTTTTCCCGCCTAGATGGTCTACACTTGCAAAAGGTAAGTGTTAAACATAAAAGGGAAGTGATAGATGTAATAATGACGTATAAAAGTAATTAAAATTATTAACACAAACACGTATTAATTTACCTTACTATTTTGTTAAGTAACACAAACACATATCAAATTACCTTACCACTAATTATTACCGTACCTTAAAATAAATATCATACCTTACTACTAATTACTACCATACACAAACACAAACACGGTTTTGGTCATTAATTACTATTAATTATTAATTCTTTAATATAAAATTTGAGAGTTTGATTCCTAAAAATTTGACATGTGGCAATTTGGGTGTCCTATTTTAGGGTATGTTTGGTTGGAGGTAGGTAAAAGTTTTATTAGGTAGGTAATAGTAGGTAATTGAAGGTAGGTAACGTAAGGTAACAAGTTAAAAAATTGTGTTTGGATGTTTATTAGGTAATGTGAGGTAGGCAGAATAACAAATTTACTCAAAAAATAAAAACAATTGCAAAAAATAAAACAAAAAACGGGAAAACTGCAAAAAACTCAAAAAGAAAAACAAGGGGAAAAAGTCAAAGCATGATATTTCAATGATTAAAAAACAGGAAAAAAATAAAAAAGAAAAAAATATAGCAAAAAATATGAAAAAAGTTGAAAGGGTTTGAACTTTGAAGAAGTGGGGAGAAAGCAAAATCAAATCGGAAGTGGGGATCGGAGAAAGAAAGCAAAATCGACCAGGAAGAAAGCCGTCGACAATCAATAGGGTTTGAAGGCCTGGAGGAGATCAGATCCGAGAAGAAGAAACAGTCGCAAATCCGAGAAATCCGAGAAGAAATAGTCGCTAAAAAAGAAGAAGAAGAAGAAGAAGAAGAGGAGGAAGAAAGAGGACAGGGAAGGGAAACACAAAACTTATCTTGAGTTACCGCTGAATCGACGGGCGGGTTTTTTGCACTGTTACGCGGCTACCTCCAGCTACCTTCGTCGTCTACCTTCCCCTATTTGATTTCCCAAACTAGGTAACTCCTAAATCTCACCTCACCCTACCTTCACTCACCTCCCACCAAACACAGCTTAAATCTCACCTCACCCTACGCCGCTACTCTTCCCTTCGATTCTGGTCTTTCTTCATCGCCAAAAAAAAATTCTTCACCCAAATATGGCAAATTGGAGAAATACAAGGAATCCTTCACGGATTTTTGGCCGATTCTTCGCCTTATTTCCGAAATCTACACCGCAGCCCTCTGCCAATTCTCTAGGTTTTTTTCCCACTTCTTCGGCGACTTTGAACCTCACGCAACCCTCTTCTTCGCCAGTTACGATCTTCTTCGCCTAAGGTATCGGATTTCTTCCTCGCCAATTACGATCCCCGATTCCGATTGATGTCATCGATACAATTCCTTCTACAAACAACAATTTCATTGGAATAATCAATACCTATTGCTGGGTGATTGGCTATGTAGCGGCTCTCAAATTGGTAAGTTTAATTCGCGATCCGAAAAATGAAATTGACAATATTATTTTTGGTTAAATTGACTTTAATTTGGAATATTATTTTTCTGACCAATTTCATTGATGCGATTGGATGTTTCCTTTCCGATTTAGGACAAGTTGTCTTACAAATTAAGGAATGATTGACCTGCATGTTTATTCTATTTGTTGAACCAATGATCTGTGTGTTTTGAGTTTCAGAAAACAAATGAGTATCTTTTCATCGTTTAACCAATTTAACTCTCTTTTTTCCCATTGTAATTGTTTAAAATAGTGTTATGGTAAAAGTGATATAGAATTATCTTTCAACTGATTGGTTCAAGATATGTTTAAAATATTGATTGGTTGAGTCACTTACTTCAAAGGGTTTTAATGGTTTAGTAGTTGGAGTTTGTTTTAAATCAATGATTCTATGAATCTTACTCCATTATAATAAAGGAATCAATGTTTCTGTCTATGTATTGAAATTCCAATACAAAAATTATGGTATTAGAATCTCATCCACATATTGTTTGTTTGACTAACTTTTTTCCCTTCTATTACTCAGTTAGCAGTACTACAAAGCTAAGTTATGTTATAATCGACCAGCATGTTATCAATGCATAAAGAGCACAAATAGTAGTAGTACAGATAGTGATTTAGGAGAAGCTTCTTCCCTAATGGCATTTGATTATACAGTCTAAATGCATAGATAGTGATTGGTGCTCCCTTCAATAGTATAGAACACGTTACACCCAAAGACACATTAGTGATTCTATATTTTCACCATAATTTCATGGTCTGGGCATGTCGCATTATTGACGTAGGTATGGGCATATGCAAGCTCTAAATGTAATCTTAAACATATTAGATTTATAATAGATTTTTTTAACATTGCAGGCTTTTTACTGGATTTTTAAAATCTTATAGCGGGATGTCCACATAATATTGGATTATAAATAAAGTAATGACGTTTTAGGCACACTGGCTCTATAAACATACTGCCTTTATTTTGGATTATAAACATATTCACTTTTTACTAGCTTTGTACTGGATTTTTAGACATTCTACCTTTATATTTGCTTTAGAAACATATTTCCCTTATACTTTCTAATCTTTGAGTAGTTGATAATTTTTTATTTTTCCTTATTATTTTGCAGGATAGAGAATTTGTGCTCGGGGATGGATCATATGCAAATCAAAATTGGTATCTCGAGACGATGATGAATCTTTTGGTAGTTTTGTAAAGATGAATCTAAATTGTGCATAGAAAAATCATATACTCCCTGTGTCTAAAAAAATACTCTTATTTTAGTAAGAAACAATGCGCACATAACACTAAATATACATTTAATGTTCATACGGGTTGAGAAATATGACTCTTTTTTATAGACAAAAACACATTGATAAGCAAATTTTTTTGGGGACGAAGTATATCATCTTTTCACCAATATCTACTATTGAGAGTGTTCGAGCTTCTTAAAAATTCATAAGTATCTCTTGATCTCACTAGGATTGTTATTTTTCTCAATATATATATATATATATATATATAGCATCTTTAGCGCGACCATAGCAGTAACTATCCTTCGACTTGAAGTATTACGTTTTTTGCATTTGTGAACCCGCATGCTTTGATGCATTGTCCTAAGCCATATGAAATAAGGATGGTATACAAGATGACCCAGTGGTGCTTCCTTTTTCCATCTTTAACACCCCAGAGAAAACGAGCCATCCTTTGGTGTAGAGAATTGATTATGGATTGAGGGAGTGTATGGATATATATATATATATATATATATATATATATATATATATATATATATATATATATATATATATATATATATATATATATATATATATATATATATATATATATATATCTTTAGGATAGGTCAGTCTGGCATCCCATTATCTCTAGATAATATTTGCCCATGTGCGGATGCGAACACACCGTCATTGACTATGAGACTAAGTCAAACATCCAACACACACTAGTCTCACATGCATTAACGATATCTCACTCTCGTTAAAACTCAACTATGGACATTCAGATAAATATTTATTTCAAGATGTTAGTCTCATCAGTAGAATAACACTATCTGATAAACATCTTTAAATATAAATCTAGAAATACAATATTTGTTTACATTAGCATGAGATATATAAACATATTATATCTGCCTTTACATGATATAAGAACGACAAACAGTTGGTCATCAAGGCACAACTCCAACATCTAGCTACTACTTTTTCAGACAGTATTTCTGTAGCCTTTACACATCATATAACTCATGGGTGTTGAGTAAATATTTCATTTTGGAAAAAAATTAAATATTGTTAATTTTTTTATGAGATAAGACCCAAGCAGTTAACTCATGTTCACGCAACAAATTCATCTTCATGTTTGGCATCATACCACTGGCCGTTCTTGCGAGCTTTGAGCAAGTGAGGGCATAATATTTGAGATTCGTACCAGTTGAGTTTGTCCATTTGTATTTATATGCATGCCTCCATCACCTTGGTTGTTAGTAAATGCTATATCGAGCAGGCATCTATAAACATGTCATACATTGTAAAAAAACTCAACATTTGAAGTTACATTATGGAAAAAATTACTCCACAATAAATGCCAGTTTTACATAAAAAAATTGATGTCAAGGAAATTAACTTACTAATGCATTTGTTATTGCCTTCCTTTGAAACCTCTTCCCTACCCCTAGTTGATGGTTCAGCAGTTTTATAGTGAAAACATACTTTTGAACTATAGACGACTTCACCAACTTGTGGCACACAGATCCCACACAGAATCTTAAAACTCAAATACATGATCCCAAGCTTCTGTAGCAGCTGCTCCTAAGTTGGGATTTAGCATTTGTATTATGAGCTTTCTTCTAGTATTTCTATACTCCTCATCATTTGTGTTACTGTCAAACCCTAATAGTACCTTGTAGTAGGCATCTCCTCTATTATATCTCTCATATTACTCTTTAAAAAAGACCCCAATGTCTCATTCTCAACACACATCTCAATGTCTTTCCCTTCTTCCTCTTTTTCTTGTGAATCTTCCTCTATAATATCAAAATCTGTGAACTAAACTATTTCCTCTACAACAAAATGAGATAGGCTATGACTTCTGCTTTGTTCAAATGCTTCAACAATAGGACTAGTCTCCCTATTATTTCGATTATAATCACAACTTGATATAACTTTAGTTTGGTGCACTTTAATGCCGCAAAATAAAGCCTAAAATTTATTATAAAACAAAAGTAATTTTGAATAACATTTTGGTCCAACAAAGACTATTTATAACTTTGACAAAAATGTAGGGATTTTCAAGATGATGACTTTCTCTTAAAAATTTATTTTTATGGATAGGTTTCGAAAAGACGAATTCAACGGTATATTTTATGAATCAATCTAGTTTACACATTTCAAGTTATGATGATTTTAAAATATTAAAAATTTATAACATTGACACATAGTATAAACTTATTTCAAAAGTGATTTCATAAGATTAGAAATCTTATTATTTGACACTTGACAACAACATGTTCATCATTTTGGATTTTAAATCCATATCCTCTAATCGCATTCATATTATTAAATTATTTTATGACTGAGTCAGATTTGGAAACTGAAAAATTAAAGTTTTCAGAAAAATATTTTGATTACGTCAAAATTCTAGTTTTGACAGTCTGATTCCAAAAACAAAATCAATTTTCAATTTAGAGTCGTTTGGATAAAAAAAGTGCATATCTTTTGGAGTAAACTTCTCACTTTAGACTAAAAGCCAAACATATTTCTTATAAATCTTAAAAAAATCTTGCCACTTTCCATAAGTTCTCCACTAGAGTCACTTTAACCACCCTAAGAAGTCCACTACTCTCATAAACCCAAAGAAAAATCCTACAATACTCCTTCCTGCACAAATTTGTCAACCATTTTCACCATCTCACAATCATCATCATCCACCAACATTTTCCATCTCTCTCATTCTAGCAGCAAACCTAGGGGAAATCATCACTATTTTCACATCTTTTGTGCCAAGGGAGAAGAAAGAATCTAAGGTGTTTTCAAAGCTTTCCAAGAAATCCTGACAGCAACTATCAGTCAATTTTTAAGTGATTTTCCGAAATTTTCTACTCATTATTTTGAAACTCTTCCTTGATTAAAGTTGTATACCCGTGTCTTACGAATACAAATCAAAAAATATTTTGCGAATTGGTTAAGAAATGATGGTGATATGACCAAAATACCGGGACTGCGTCAGTGGTGACGAGAACCTCGGATTTGGCTAGCTTTTTCATCATATCTATATCGTTTAATTCAAAATGCTTACCATCAACTCTCTAACGAATATTTGGAACTCCCAGAAGGTATCGTAGAAAAGGTTCGATGTAGGAAGCTTGAAATTGATAGAGGTGACAGTACGTCCAACGTTCGTCACCAATTAAACATAAGGTTCGTACCCTTGCACTAAAATTATCAAATCGTTCATTACATATGTACATGTATATATACATCTACTATTGAACCATCTCCAAAGTATATATGTGATACATATATAAGTCATTTATGTGTTGCGATCAAAATACACCAAACCCATAAAGTTATATATACATACAAATGTAAATATTGGAAATCATCCCAAAAATATATACATGACCATCAAAGGTGTTAAAATGACTTTGCTAGTCGTTGTGCCCATGCCTTAGAGGGGGGTGAATAAGGCATTTGAAAACTCTTTGGAGTTTAATAAAAACGGTGTTGGCAAATGCAGAAGCAATATATAAAAAGCAAAAATAAAAGTGTAAAAAAATGCACACCGATTTTATACTAGTTCGGGAACACCCTACTCCAGTACCTCGAGTAGGGTGTTCCCAAGGTAGTCAAACTCGCGAGTTGACTCGTACGAGTCTACGAGTCTGAGGATCGCCGGGACCTTCTCGATCCGGCGCGGCTGCAGAATCGGGCAATCCACTAGAATCGTCCGGATCGGCGATTCAGATCGTAAAAACGCAGGATCGCGTTCAATCGCCGATTGTGAGAAGCCCAGACAACGTCGCTTCAAAATCTTCTTCCAATCTCGTCGGGAATTGCAATTGGAAAGTCGCATCTGTCGCGACTCCCAATTTCGATCGGAAACAGCGTATCCTCTTTTATTTATTCTCAAATTAAATTGGAAACCAGCGTAAATAGCATATCAGCGCAAATTGGAATCCAGACTTCTCCTTCCAATCGACTTCTAAGTTCTAATAGCCTTCTAATTAAAACATTAAACATATATATATATATATATATATATATATATATATATATATATATATATATATATATACATATATATATATATATATACATATATATATATATATATATATATATATATAGTAGGATCTTACGATCCGAGTCACGATCTTACGATGTTACGATCTTCATTATGCTTATCGATCCTACGTAGAATCTAGAGTTTGACTACCTTGGGTGTTCCCGAACTAGTATAAAAGCAATATACAAAATGCACACAGATTACCGTCCGCATCCGTATCCGTTTAAAGAGGAAATATCCGCATCTGATTTAAACGGATATTATCTATATCAGATCAAGGATATCCGATTACTAAACGGATACGGATTTGGTAATTGTATATCCGATCCGTTTAAAATCCGATCTGAATATGCATCCGTTTAAATAACCGTTTATCCAAATATCCGACCCGTTATATTTAGTTTTTCCTAATTTTTTTATGTTTATATTTTGTTTCTCTATTGATTTTTCAAAGTACAATACATTTTTATATACAAAATGAATGTGTAGACACATAAAAATATGTGCAGACATATAAAAGTATGTGTATATGTGTGTTGTGTATATCTTTTTATCATATTAAGTTATCGTAGAATATCATAAATCATGAAAACAAGGAAAATAATTACCCCATAACAGGTTATAGTTGATTTAATAATAGTTTGAATTCAATCTAATTTAAAATTAAAGTATTGTTTAATTTGATTTTAAAAATTGGAAATGGATACGGATATATCTGATATCCGACCGATATCTGACGAATGCGGATACGATTTTGATTTTTAGTATCCGTCAAGATCCGTATCCGAATTCGATATCCAACAAAAATAAACGGATAAGATTTGGTAATAGCACATCCGATCCGATTAATATCCGTTTACACCCGTCCTCGAGGCTCCTCTTCAAGGATTTTCGAATCTACGAAGTCTTAGTCTCTTGAAATTCATCAAAGCACCACACTAGTTATGGCAAACAACCCTTGCCAATAGGATTCACTCTGAGATTTTACAACGGCTATCTCGAACCGCTTACAATGAAGATTTCACGGCTATCTTCAACCGTTACAACTTGAGAATTTAACGGCTCTTCTCGATCATAAGAAACTGTCTTCGAAGAACACAAGAAATGGTTCTACACAATGGCTTAAATACAAAAATAAAGAACAAGACTTAGGCGGTGTAGATGAAAATTATACTCTCTCAAAAATACAATATAAACTTATGAATATGAGAGTATATCACTAAAACACAAGCTCAAAATTATATGTATAAAAATTAAGAGAATGAGACTCTTAAAATAGCCAAAATATGAAGAATTAAGAATAAAAGAGTAAACACACTTGAAATATAAAAGTAAGATGCTTGGAGCTTGAGTTCTTGTCGAAATATGAAGTATTAGGCTTGTATTTATAGTGGAAGGTGTTAACTAGCCGTTGGGAGGTGATTAGAGTTGATTAAATTCAAATTCAGCAATCAGGAACAATACCTCCAACGATTACCACTACAAGAAAATGCCAGTTCTTCAACGGAAATCTGCCACGGAGACGTTTTTGTTGCAAATCTGCAACGACTCTGCGACGGATGTATAAATGTGGATAAACTGACAAATATCTGCGACGGTCATAGTCTTTCCGTCGCAACTTTGCGACAGACATAACCGAACCCTCGCAAATATGACGCGGGAGGAAAAATATCTTCTACGGAATTAGAATTCCGTCGCAGATCTGCAACAGAATCTGCTACGGAATGTTTTCCGTCGCAGACATGAACTTAAAAAATCTTATCCTCTTCTCCCGATTCACAATCTCCATTCAACCAAAAAATCTTATCCTCTTCTCCTGCAGACGTTTATTGAAAATAACTTTAAATTAGCTTAATGTTAATGCTTTAATGATAACAAAAAAAAATTATAGGTTCTAGGGTCGGGGAGAGTGAGGATTTCAACTACGGTGAAGATGGCCGTGAAGAGGAGGAGCTAAATGGCGACGATCGCGAAGAAGAAGAGTTGAATGACGACCGCCGCATAGAGGACTTGAATAGTGAGGGTCGCGAAGATGAAGAGCTCAATGCTGAGGATCGACGGGAGGGACCTCGTGATGGGGGTCGGTTTTTGTATGTCAATTCAGATGACGAGTATGTGATATAGTACATTTTAAGATTATTCATGCTATGCATTAAAATATTTACATTTAACTAATTATTTTTTTACAGGGTTACGATCACTAGGGCTGGTGCTGCACTCATCACTCCAGCATTCTATGAGAAGACGGACCCGGCATGCAAGTCTTGGCGTGATGTCCCACAGTCAGTGAAGGAGTTCTACTTTCGAGAGTTCAAGGTTTTTCTGAGATTAATTATGTTACTAGTTTCACACTTAAAAACATTGATGTGTTTTTAAGTAATAACTTCTTGGATTTTTAATGATGTCGATGAATGTAGAAAAATGCTCGACCAGATCCGGCAATCAATGAGGGGAAGCTAAGGAAAGCATTTCTCAAGAAAGCTGCTAAACGGTACTCAGGTTACACATACAATGTGAGGAACCCCAACCGGTTGAAAAAAAAGAGAATGGACCCACGACCATTTCAGAAGCTTAAAAAAGTGTGTGTGTATATTTTATAACGGGTCACTATATACATGCAATGTTTATTAAATATACAACTATAGGTTTGGGATGAGGATCCAGAGTTTCAAGAGGTGAGTAAGACCAAGAAGAAGAATATGCAAAAGGGAAGGGAGGATGGTCCCGCTTTAGGGACGTATTGTGGAGGTTCTATTCCATTTTCTGAAAATATGAATCGATTGGTAAGATATATTTTATAAAAATAAGACACTTACTGGTAATTGGGTTGATACTAAATTTAAAATTTATTACACTTGTTTTTTGAATATTATAGTCTAAGAAGAAAGGAGCACCTGTATCGTTGGATGAGGTTATCATCCACACAAAAACGAAGAAACATGATGGTCAATCTTGGGTAGATCCAGTTGTTGCTGAATTGCAGGTACATGTCATTTTTTTACTTGTTTGTGTTGTTTTTGTAATGTTGTTGTTGTTCAAACATTTGTTTCTTTATTTTTCTTTTCTATTTCTTTAGTTGTTTTGTTGTTGTGGAGTTAATAGATTAAGTATGTATGGCTTTTTCCTAATCTCACATGGATTTACATCTTTCTCTTCGTTATCTTCTTAGTGTCTCAAGTTATTTATTAATTGAGTGCTTCTAAAATACGAGTCTTTTTTATGGGACTGGGTGAGGGTGGAGGGGGGAGTACAATGCTCAACCATAAACAAACCCGTTATGGTTCGTGTCTCTCTTGTGGTTAGTGTGAGTTTACATCGCATGTTGAATATGTATGTAGCACATTACTTCACAGTGATTGGCGAGAGGAAGTTTACCTGAAGTTGCTCTTGTGTGTTTTATGTTTGTCGTCTGCACAAGTCTCGGTTTTGTGAACTTTTTAGGATTAGGTCAAATCAAGTTGTCTTAAAGATAAGAAACCTTTGTGCATAAAACTATATGTACACCATGACCTGGATACTTGCATTTCAATCATTATGATCTATTTTACGGAAGAGAAATGTGAAGTTAAGAGGTGGGACAAAAAGGGGGACATGCACTTGTTATGTGTGATATGTAATTAAGATTGTTACGAGTGTTATTGTTTATTATTAACTGTCATATGTTGCAGGCTCAATTTTTGGAATTGCGGGAGGAAGCTAGAAAAAAAGGGCTTAAAGTCACCGACGAGCAGATATGGTACTCACTTGTCGAGGGCCATAATGCCAAGAATCGCGTGCCTGGAGTCGGTGACTACGAGCATGAAATGAGGAAGATGAATCAGTCTTCGAAACCTCGACGTTCAGCCAAGACTAGCAGCAGCGCAATGGAGATTGCAGCACTTAGGGCGAAAAATGAAAAACTACAAGAAGAATTTGATAATTTGAGATCGAACTTGACGTTGACCATCCATGAAGAGTTAAAAAAACTTCTTGGTGGTAACCTTCCTCCACGAAGAAATGATGAGGGTCAGGACATCTTGAAGCTATTATTTAGATATATATGTAGAACATCTTTACATTAAGAATTTCAAGTTTAACGTAAGATTACAATGGATTATGTTATATTTATATGACATTCTATGTTTTTATTAATGCTCTTTGAATTTAGTTACAAAATTGCATTTTGTCCCCTGTTGTGAATGCATTTTGTTCTCTAATCAGTACCTACAAAAGAGGGAAAATTGCAGAAACTGGGAGCAGCTTCAGAAAATTTGCAACGGATCTGCCAAGGAAACCATAGTCCGTCGCAGAACTATTGCATAAACTGAAAGTAGGACCCGTGGCAAATCCGTGGCAAATCTGCCATGGAAAAAACGCCTGTCGCAGAATATCAAAAATAGGACGCAAAAAACATCCGTTGCAAATCTGTGGCAGATCTGCCACGGAAAACCTTTTCCATCACTGATTTTGAATTTGCCACAACTTTTTTGCGACAGCCTGTTTTCGTCGCGGGTCCGTAGCAGATTATCTGTCTGCCACAGAATTTCAGTTTCTGCCACAGATTTTTTCTGTGGCAAATCTGTCCATTTCTTGTAGTGTACGGTACACTGTCATGGTAGCTAGGTACCGTACAGTACGTAGGTACCTTCTTAGGACAAAACTCTCTGGCGGTAGCTGTCCTCTTACGGTACACCTTCCGGTAGGGGGGTCCTGACATGACAGTAGAGGTGTCCCGGGCTGACTATAGGGGGTACCTTCTCAGATTAATTCACAGTACCCCTTATGGTACCTAGGTAACTGCTGACCATTTTGATGATTTTTTCATTTTTGTCCAAATTGTTTCCGATTTTGTTTAAAACTTTTTGCATGTTTGAAAATGATTATAAGGTACTTAAAATCATGTTCCCAATTTTGTTTTAAACTTTTTTTTTGAGTACTTTTGAGCTTGTGAATATAGGTCCATAAAATCATATCCTTACAATGGTTTCTAACTATATTCTACGCTAGTTTAGTATTTTGACTTCATTCTTGAGAACCGAATCTTAATGGATTCTTGTTGCACCTGATACACTTAAACAAATTCTTATATTGTTTGTTAATATCAAAACACGAGTCTTAGCAAACAAAGGCTAACAATCTCCCTTTTTTGATGTTGACAAACAATATACTTCAAATTGAGTTAGACGGAGTAAAAATAATAAAGCAAGCAAGCTCCTCCTAAGAATAAGCGTATTGTAAATACTCATTTTGAACTATTCTTGTGTTCATTGAAAGTTTAAGTTTGATGCAAATAGTTACACAAGAATACACTCAAGTCATGTTGCATATGTACCCCTTTGAAGAATACACCTCCCCCTTTTGTCAAAATTAAAAAGGGCAATTTGAAAATTTTAGCCATGTATAACTTCTTGAAAACCATCCTCTTAAAAAAAGAATTTTTTTGAAAAACAGTGATTGTTTGGAGGTCATTGAGGGAAAGGTGCATTTACTACAAAACTCCCCCTTAAACAAAAAACTCTCCCAAAAATGATGCAAGTTTAAAAATTTTATTTTGAGGGATTATTTTCTAAAAGGCATGATTCAAAAACAAATTTTGAAAAATTATTCAATCATGCAAAACAAGGCTAAAAACAATTTCGAGCATATATGAGATAAGTTTTTTTTGAAAAATATTAAAAACAACAAAAAATTCTTATCCCAATAAGTGAGAAAAACTTACCTTAGCTTATGCCGTTCTTTTTTTGGCTTTGAATATGCTTTTTTCCTCTTCACATGCTTCTTCCATTTGAGGAAATCTGTATACTTCCTTCTCATCGCCTTTTCTTCATCTTCTTCATCATTTGAGTCTTCGGATGTGCTTGATTCGTTTGATTCATCACTTGACCCACTCGATTCTTCACTTGATGAGTCTTTGGAAGCCTTGAAGGCGTTGATAAGTTTTGGGTTTTTAAGCATCTCTTTCTCTTTGATCTTTTTCAACAAAAGCTCATGAGAATATAAGGAAGAGCAAATATGGATGGTTTCATCCTTATCACATTTGGGTAATAAATCTACGATAGTACTATGCCATTCTTTAGGTAAAGAAAATAGAATTTTCGTATTAAGCTCGGAAGTAGTATACGTCTTACCCAACTTACTCAATTTGTTAACAATCTCGTTGAACCTCTTGTTCATGTCTTGGATTGTCTCACATGGCCCTTTCTTGAAGGATTCATATTCCGAGTTCCCAAGGGCTAGCATGGTTTGTTTTGTTGAGGTGTCTCCTTCATGTGTAGCTTGAAGTAGATCTCACACCTCTTTAGCCATCTTGCAAGAGCAAACATGTGAGAATTCATCGGGGCCAAGAGAGCAATGCAAAATATTAATTGTTTTGGCATTCATCGATAGCTTCCTCTTATCTTACGAAGATAATCCTGCAAGATTACCACTACTTGGCACAAATGGCCCGTGAAGTACATTTAACCATAAATCAAAATCAATAGATTGTATAAAAATATTCCATTCGCATTTTTCAAGCAATAAGAATAATTTTAGCCATTGAGAAACAGAGGGCGGTGAATGCTTTGGGATTCCATTGAGGAGGCCATTTTTTCAAAAAAAAAATTGAATTTTAAAAATCAGGAATAATAAACTTTTGAGATTTTAAAAACTCAAATTTGAAAAGGGACACAAATAGTAGATCTTTGTCGTAGATGCGGTTAAGCACTTTCAACTACGAAACCGCTCGAATACCAATTGCTAGTCGTTGTGCCCACGTCTTAGAGGGGGGTGAGGTGAATAAGGCATTTGAAAACTTTTCGGAGTTTAATAAAAACGGTGTTGGCAAATGCAGAAGCAATACCAAACATAAAGTTCTCTCTATCCCCAATTTGGTCAAGCACATCATCCCCAGACAATGTCTTAGGAAGAGGATCCATTTCTACAGTTCCATCAAAAGATTTCTTATCAAATCTCCACCTATGATTAGCATCTAAATATCTTCGATGGCCCATATAGCATTCTTTGCTCCAATGTGACAAACGTTGTGACCTTGTATCTTTATTACAAAGAGGGTAAGCGAGGCGACCTTTAACACTCCAACCAGATAAATTTCCATAAGCTGGAAAATCATTTATTGTCCACATTAAAGAGGCATGTAAATTAAAGTATTCAGCTTTGTAAGCATCATAGGTATTTACCCCATCTTCCCATAACAATCTAAGCTCATCAATCAAAGGTTGTAAATAAACATCAATATTAGTTCCTGGAGTCTTTTTACCAGGAATTATCATATTCAACATCGTATATGGCCTCTTCATACACATCCAAGGTGGTAAGTTGTAGGGAACTAAAAATACAGGCCAAATGCTATAAGTTGAGTTTAAATTAGCATAAGGAGTAATATCATCGGTGCATAAACCGAGCCTCACATTTGAGCATCTGAAGCAAAACAAGGAAATGATTTATCAAATGTCTTCCAAGCCATAGCATCCGCTGGATGATGTAAAATCCCATCATTCAAGCGCTTTTCCTTGTGCCACCTCATTTCAAATGCTGTTTTACCAGACATGAACAACATTTGCAGCCTAGGTATAAGGGGAAAGTATGTAGCGTAATATCTTGTAAGGTACATTAGATGATTTTCCTCCTTTTTTTATTCTCATCATCAATATCATCACAAACTTCCTTCTTCTCTTTCCACCTAGGATGAGCGCACTTTGGACATTTATCCAAATTTGCGTATTCTTTCCAATAGATTATGCAATCATTTTGGCAAGCATCAAATTTTGCATAGGAAAGTCCAAGTTGGCGTGTGTATTTTTTGGCTTCATATGCATTTTTTGGAAATGTATCGTCAAAGTCAAAAGCATTTTTTAGAAGCTCCAATATCATGGTCAATGATTTGTCACTCCATCCACAAAGACACTTGATATGCAGAAGATGAACTATAAATTCAAGCTACGAAAATTTTTCACAACTTGGATATAGTTCTTTCTCAACGTCCCTAACAAGATTACCAAATTTCTCAAGCAGCTTGGGTGACTCACTAATCTCTAGATCACTTAACCTTTCAAGTTCATTAACTATATTAAATGCTCTAGTATATATCATGTCATAGAATTTAGGTACTGGCCTTCTATTGTTTCAACTCCACCGTTATCACCAACTTCTTCATGTGTAGACTTTTCCCTGTGAAAATCTCATGGATTATAACTTCTAACTATTCCATCATTTAACAAATGAAGGAGAACAGTTTTTCTATTTTGATGGTCATAGTTGTCACAATTTATGCAAGGACATCTAATCTTCCCATCTTTTGATGCATGAGCAAACGCAAAATCCAAAAAACCCTTAACCCCATTTATGTATTCTGGCTTTCTTCTACAACTATATGTCTTCCATTTCATCTAACTTCTATCATTATCCATTCACTTTAAATTTTTTAAAAAAATTAATGATTAACTTCTCAGTATTAAAAGTAAGATAAGTACTATATCAATCATTATAATTTAAAAATCAATTACCAAATATTTAATACATTGGAATTCACTAAATTATAAACACCAAAGGATATAAAAAATTAATAGCAACCATAAATAACTGTATGATAATAATTAAATAGTGTGCATACCCGGAAGACATAATTGCGCACTTGCAAAGAAGTACTTAATTTCAATAGAAAATGCTCCCCAATGCAACCTTAGAAAATAACATAGTCATGTATAACAATTAGCTCATATAAAGGACAAGTACTATAATCAAGCCTACATTATATATAATTGAACTAACAAATTTAGAGTAATGAATAAGCATAATTGAAGAAAGTTGAATCACGACGCCAAGTGCTAACAAATCCATGTCACAAAAGGAATCGTACACAATTAAATCTATACACTTGTTGACCATGATGTTTTAAATCTATATACACTTGTCGCAAAAGGAATCATTGTGTATCTACATACACAATTAAATCTATATACACTTGTCGCAAAAGGAATCATTGTGTATCTACATACACAATTAAATCTATATACACTTGTTGCAAAAGGAATCATTACTATCTTCTCATCCATTACCAAAATTTTAGTTTTAGACAGATAATGAACTAAATCAGAATGACACATTAGACCCCCCCTAATTGCTTCTTACTTTCCAAGAAGTTTTGGCAGTAAATGAAGGGATGCATGAACCTATTAGTGTCAAGTGCAGGAAGACATGCTTCCTTAGCTTCGTCCAAAGGTTTGTACAGGGAAGTTGAAATATTATGGTTACCCGTGGCATTACAACCAATGTTTTTGGGGCATGAGAGAGTAACATGAAAATTAAATAAATAGAATTGTATGGTTGGTATTGATATTAAAAGATAAGATAAAACAAAAATGAATATGAACCATTAAAAAATGATCCAAAATGGTACTATGTATACAACAACAGTAACAAATAACAACTCTGCAGAATCCCATAAAAGCAAGGTCTAGGGAAGGTGTGTGTAGCAAACCTTACCCTTACTAAAAATATAAATGCAATCTAACGCATCCTAGAAAGAGAATAGGAAACAAAGCAAATAGTGGTATACTTTAATTAAATTCTTTGGAAAGGGGAGTGCCT